TGCATTAGGAAGGGCATTGCCAGCAGGCCGAAGGAGGGGATCCTGCCCCTCTATTCAGCCCTGGGGAGGCCCCATCTGGAGGACTCTGTCCACTTCTGGGCTCCCCAGTACAAGAGAGACATCGACCTGCTGCAGAGAGTCCGGCAGAGGGTTACAAAGATGGTTAGGGGACTGCAGCATCTCCCACATGAGGAAAGGCTGAGAGAGCTGGGACTGCTCAGCCTGGAAAACAGAAAAGGGGAATCTTATCAAACTGTTCTAAATATCTGAAGGGAGGGTGTCAAGAGGATGGGGCCAGACTCTTCTCAGTGGTGCCCAGTGATGACAGGATGAGAAGCAACAGGCACCAACTGAAACCCAGGAAGTTCTGTCCAAACATAAGGAGAAAATCCAGACTGAGCACTGGAACAGGTTGCCCAAAGAGGTTGCGGAGTCTCCATCCTTGGACAGATTCAGAACCCATCTGGACAGGGCCCTGGGAAACCTGCTTGAGCAGGGGGGTTGGACTAGATCTCCAGAGGTCCCTTCCAACCTCAACCATTCTATGATTCTGTGAAAAGTTCTCCATTAGTAAAGAGCATTCCAGAGTTTAAATCAAAATAAACCAGAAGTATTCCCTAGAACAAAGATTTTCCACATTTCCAACTTCCAAAATAATATACTGAAGTGCATGAAATCTGATGGAATTAGGTAGATTTCTTTAGCAAAACAAACAAACAGAATTGGTGCAGTTAAAAAAAAGCTACAGTAGTAATGCTTTTTCCCAAAGTTAAGCACGTTCCTAAAGCGCTCTTGCTAATCTGACTAACATCTCCCATCAGTTACAATCAAGAGCACTAAGTAATGTACACTAGAGCAGCATCTTCCTCTTGTGCATCCGAAACACATCCAATCCAGAGTGCCAGCTGCCTATTACATACTGCTCGTGGTACAACAGCAAAGCACTATGTAATTCTTTCACTGAATGAAGTGCTTCTAATAAGCAGATACTATGTCTAATGCAGGCAATTGCCTGGTAACATACATAGAATGAACCTGTGGAATCCAGACAGACACTGTTAGTATAATGCTATTGCCTCTGAAGTATATTAAATATAAAACCAGATAGAAATGCTGAAAGCAGCTTTTCTCAACTGACCACTTAGGCTTTAATATGTGCTACTGAATACCACTGACTGAAGGATTTGGCAGTACTAACCAAAAGGCAAGCAAAAGCTACTGCAGATGCATGCAAACTTCTTCCTGTTCTTATGTTTTATCTTTAAATTTGTCTAAAGAGATACTTTTTTCTTTAAAACTTGCATTAAAGGAATTCAATTCCTTTTGTAGTTAACAGAGATGCAGAGTTATACAAATGCAAGATTAGGTGCTTACTACCTTGACTCCAAGATAATGAAATAGCCTTGTGGCTTCAAGCTTGTTAATTCTTCCACATGCGTGGGAATTTTTCTACATGCAAGGAACTTTTTATGATTATCAACAAAGGAAAGGTGCCCTTTTAAAGTAAGACATCAGAGTTAGCCCACGTACCCCACCGTAGCTTTTCCCACCAATGCTTCTGCTCTGAAACAGTTTTTGCAGTTATTCTACACCATCCGCAAGCTTAGAATTTCCTACCAAGTATTTTGACCATTCTTTTCTGTCTCTATGAAACAGGGCATGCTACCTAATGACACCATGCAGATCAGAAATAAGGATAATAAAAAGCCAGAATGCAAGCGCGCTGAATAGCACTTACACTTTTCCATTGCTTTTTGAAAGCAAGATACAAATTTGAACCTAGTTTATTTTCCTCTTTCTTCTTTTCTTTTGGTTATCAAATCAATGCAAACCAAAAAGGCTTTTCAGCTGTGCACGTTCTCCACAGAACTACTTCACAAAGCTTGTAGCAGCTCACGGGTGTCTTTCTCATATCCCTCCACCTTCTACATATTCAAAACACTCCTGGGGCTGGAGTCATCAGCTAGCATGTGGAACACTCCACTTCTGCAGAGCTGCCAGTCAATCAGGCCGGATAGCTCTGCAACTGTTATGTTTTGGATCCTATCTGTTTGCCAGGCTCTTCTCATTACTCCTCCTGGCAACAAGTAGGTCCTGGAGGGTTCATTTCAGAGGCTATTGTGCATCTCCAATTTACAGGTAGCAGAAGAGAGAGCATGCAGCTCAACAGCACTCATCCCAAGAGCTGTGGGAAACTCATATGACAGCCCTGCTTCTAAGATTCTCTTCGGTAGCAGAGGTACACATGCTGTGTTATTGGACACCTCATCTCCAACCGGATGTTCCACCCACAAACCCTCACAAAGCTTTGGGAACTCTTGGAACTAGATATTCCAACTAGATTAAAACAGCAAGCTAATACTTCTTTATTTTTACAACTCTAGAAGACATCATATTGATAATTCATACAGTAAACGATACAACGACCTTTGTAAAGTAACATGCTTTCCACTTGCAATTAACGCTGCAGTAAGAACCCTAGATGCTATCAAAACATGCCTGTAACAGATCTCTCACTAGGGCTCTGAACAGCAAGGATTTTAAATACAAGACTTGCCACAATAGGTAGAACCCAAAATATTAGGCATTGGCAGCAAAGCACAAAATTCAAGGTTATCACACTCCTGGGGTCTACATGTGGCCTACACACAGATGCATTTCCTGTTTTGTTGGAAAAAACTTGAGGAAACATCGGTGTGTGTGCACGTGTGTGTACACACACACACACACAAAATACATACCTGTCTGTATATATTTATATGCACATATATACACACATAAATAGCTGCTAGATTTTCTCAAATTTAACTTCTTAGGACAACGAATATACCTTTTTTCTACCGAAGAATATAATGGTAAAGTTAAGAACTATAATGCTCATTAACTAAAAATAACAAATGATGCTCCCCAGATTATTCTAATATGGATCTCAATAAGCAAATGAGCAGTGCTTGTACCTATACATAACTCTGTGGGTATTATTAGAATCTGTCTGCTAGATATACGGTAGTTCAGTTAAAAACATAGGTATATGAGCAGTTTGAGATGAGACAAATCCTATCTCCTGCTGGCAAAAAACACAAACATTCTATTGAATTTCACCTGTCAAGCTGCTCAGTGTATTCTATACTTTAATACCACAATACGCATGATTGAAATGGTTAACACAATTGTAAAGTGCATAGCACTACTTTTATACTTCAATATATACCTTGAGCAGGAACTCCTGAAGCTCCTGGTGTGTTTTTGTTACACATGTTACAGAAAGATCAGACCAGGTTACCTGATAAGGAAGAAGAGAGTAAGGAAAGTTACATAACATTTCTTTTTCTAAGATTACACTAGTTAGTGTATTTTAACGATCCTGTATTTCTGACCACCTCAGTATAATATGTAACAGGTGCAGCTAAATAAATACTGGTCAAAACAGGGATAATGTTGTACATTTTCAAGGACATGCACTGATTTTGAGTGTAGATTTTAAGATCGCTTTAATGATATTTGTATATAAATATAACAGCAGAAAATTCAGATGAATGCAATTAAGTCCTTGATGATTACTTACTGATTCCAAAAGAAGTCAGGTAGAAGGCTGCATAATTACACGACTTCTACCAAAAAGACATTGTTAACTCAAAAATCCAGGCACCAGAACAAAGGACTGAAGGTCAGATATACTGGATAGTTCTCCCTGTCATTATCATGATTCAAAAATTTATCTTTGTTTATATAATGTATAAAATATTTTTAATCTGCCACAGGCTTAAATCTTATACAGTCACATAAAAATTGCTGTAGGGTACAATTCATAACTATTCCAATTTACTTAAGGAATTGCTCAAGAATAAACATTTTGGTATATTCTTGTAACCATATTTCAATAGCTTATTGTTCTTACACAACATGCTGGTAGTAAAACAGCACCTTCACATGCATATTTTGAGGAAAAAAAGAAGCAAACTTGGTTAGATGAGCACTGCCTGGCTTTAAGCTCACCTCTGGGTTTAAGATTCCCATTACATGCATAGGAAAATCCTGTGTAATGGGAATGGACATGACAATTTATAAACATCCATTTACTCTAAAGAGCTGAGAAGATAATGTTAACCACCAACTGCCTTCAATTTAGACCCCAGAAATGCCAATTAGCAGCTACTCTTGATGACCTCAGCTGGGAAGCCATGATTGTAACTGCTGTAATAACTTTTAAAAGGCAGTGCCTAGGGAAAGCATAAGGTGATCTGCACAGGGGAGCACGGTATATAGCCAGAGAGATGAGAAAAGGAAACTTCTCCCTAAAGGAACTGATGTGGAAGAGTTTCAAGTTTACTCAAATGCTTCCCAAAAATATCTCCGAACGTTCCCTCTTTAACAAAGAAATTCAAAACCACTGTCAAATCCATCTACATGGTAGATTTCCAAAATCGTTTTGTGACTTCAAATATTAATAAACCATACGGGCATTCTGGCCAAACCTCTCTTTTCCGTCAGTGCACCTTACCTAGCACGAAGTTTACAGACTATTCTGTAAAAGGAACTGTGGTAAAGTTCAGATGTTTGCGTGAGTTAACTTTTAAGACTTCAAAAATTAAATTCCACATTACTTTCCTCAGCAAAAGAAGGGTGTAGATTTTTTTTTCAAATTTCAGATTAAGGCCTGATCAACGAGATATCAGTTAGCACCACTTTACTTCAAAAATAGGAATAGTAAGAGATGTCAATTCAATCTGATTTTAAGCTTCTCATAATACCACAAAAGATAAAACTATAATCCATACACGCTTAGAGGATACAATATCAAGCTTCAGGATCAAAAGATCAATCTTCATCTTAAAACAGTATATTTAGTTTGCATCTTCAAAGAACTCCCATGAACCACCTCAAGTGGCCCGCTACAACGTTCCATTTACAACATTCTTTTGTCTTGAGGGAAAAGAAAAAAAACAGCAAGATTTAACTCTATGTCCAAGCCTGGTATACTACCAGGCTCTTGCATCTACCTGCGAAATGACTCATAAGGTTAGTCAGTCCTGGCTAAGAAAATTACTACTTTGACTCAGTTAGAACATCATTGCCAACAGCCTTTGGCAGTTATCATTTAAGACCTACAGTGTTTTAATACCAGACCTCAGTACTTAAAGCCTCTTTTCCAAACTAGTAGCAAGCAGGGTTTCAGTTCTGTTTAAAACTCACTCATGTGATTTGTCTTACGTGTTGCCTCCGGCTATTATCAGATATGAAGAATATACCAGGTAGGCCTTCAATTTTTTTTTTTTTAGCTTATTTGTTTTTCCTTTAAAAAGAAAAACAAGTAGGGTTTTTTTAGTTTATTTGTTTTTCCTTTGAAAAGAAAAAAAAAAAAAGCACCTTTGTCAAAAGCAGACCACAGGAGCTCTTCTTGTGGCAAACAATCATGAAAGATCTAAGATAACCATATGACTCCAAGCAATACATAGCTACAGACACAAAAACTGCACTCCTATGCCATTTTAGGAATGAAACAACTTGTTTTAAAATTCTTCATAATGCCTGCCTCAAATTACAAAACAAAGTTTCCAGAAGTAATATCACATACCTGGCTGCGGCTGCTGCTTTTTTATACTTCCCCACCTTATGCCCATAATTACAGAAAACACTTGCTTAGCACCCAAAAGGAGGAATCCAAGAGAATTATAGAACAATTTCAAGAATCTCTGAATAACCTAATATGATTAAAAATTGTCTTCTGAGTAGGTATTTAAAAACAGACTGTATATCTCTACAATTCTCAGACATCATGAAGACATTTACTTTAGCATTCTGGAGGCCATTTGCTTACTTTGAACGTGTATTCCAAGTGTTTGTCAGCCCTTTTTCTTGGTACTCCTTTCAGGGTTATCTTCTCAATGTGTACAGCTGAAAGAAATGCAGTTTACTGTTTATGCTCAAATTGCAGTTTGAAAACGTATCCATTTACCTAGCTACTCTGAAAATCATTATATGCTATTTAAAGACTCACACAACCCCACTCCTCCGCAGATGCTATTTTACTATAACAAACAGGGTGGGGGGGGGGGGGAGGGGGTGGGGGGGAGGGAGGCATGTTCTCAAAGTATTTCTCTGGCCTGACCACAACCATTTCATTGCAAATCATGACAATTTGTGCATTACCCAAGACCTTATTTGGGTCTAAAGTCGCACAGATAGAACAACAGGTCTTGTAATCACTACAAGCAAAAAGCCAATTAAACAAAGTTAAACTGTGCCTTTATTCCAAGAAGTAACAAATGCTTAAAAAAAAAAAAAAAGCCAGTGATAGTGCCTTCCATCTCCATGTTTCTGAAACGTCAAGTAGCGGTGAGAGCAAACTAAGACAGAAGAACCAGATTTTTGAAAGGCACGGAGGTGAAAGACAATAGTTGGGGAAGGCCTGAAGGAGACAGAAGTGAACGTTAGCAAACAGAAAAGGGAAGAGCAGAGGAAGAAAGCTACTACAATCATACTGCAAAGAATGTTATTAAATTGAACTAAAAAAGGGAGGTGGGTACTTCAAAGTGCTTTTAACCTTCCTTCCCCATAATCTACTGTATTCAAGAATAGAAAAGTTATGGTTGTGACCTGGTAAGAAACAGCAGTGTAAGGCTCTCAGGATCTGGGGGTTTTCTTTGGGGACAGAACACTGTTCAGGTAACAGTCTTCATGAAAATCACCATGCAGCCAAGATGGTGCTTTCACTTTTTTTCCCTGATATGTTTCCCTAAGAATTCAATAGAATTTTATTCCTTCACAATCGTGAACTCATCTTGAAATGTAAACAATTTTTGTCAAAAACAGTTCTTTATCAATCCAACATCATCAGTGCTTCCTTTCAAGGCTTTTGAAACGTTATTTTTATTTCTGGTGTGACTTACCAGCTCATGTTTTCCTTTGAATATTTAATTGCATTTTTACATGGGATATATTGAGAAGTACCCACAGCGATTTAAAAATTAGCCTCTGGTGAGTGTTTGTTAAAAAGCTTATTCTTGCAGATTAGCTAATTACTATCTTATCTAACTTAACTGTAACGGAACTCATTTAAGATGTTTAAAGTATAAAACCAGAATCCCCAACTGAACACACCACTTCTAAGAACAAGAGAGCTAAGCATTAACAATCTCCTTAATAGAATAATAAGCAAGCATATAAGCCTAACCATAGTACTATAGCTCCCAATTCCTTTATTAGAAAGGCTGACAAATACTGAGCTGGAATGGGGCACACTGGCTGTAGCTCTTTACCTGGGAGTTAAAAAACTGAATGAGCACTTTGTTTTTAGCAGTTAAGGAAGACTAATTATTCCATAACCAAAGACATCTGAGATGAGATAAGAATGCTAGGTAATAACATACATCTGTATACCATGAAAAGTCAAACATTTAGTGACATTAATTTTTACATGTCTGGTGTAGATAAATGTACTGTTAGAAAAGGGAGTAAGGCATAATACTAGTTTTGGCTCACTGAAGTTTCTTAATAGCCAACGTTAAATGGTACCATCAGATAATATTCTTAAGTTAATAAAAACATTGGTTGGCATGACTGGAACAGAGAATAGTGTTTTAAAGTTGCATTACTTCACTGCATCCATATATTTAACGCATGTAATCGTGAAAACTAATTACCACCATTAACATTCACATACAACTTTCTTTTCTAAAGATATTGTGTTTATTTTAAACTAAAGTTAAATGCATCTGTATAAAGAAAGTATAAGAACTTCCTTAGCTTTTTTTGGCTGCTTTTAAATGCTTGAGCTTAGTAAGTAATACAACAGGCAATTTCAGTGTTGCTGCCACACATCCTTTGTTCCACAGTTTCAATAGGCTCCTTCAAAAACCTCCTTCCACAGTCAAATTTTAAACATTCTAAATGGCTAGACTAAGAAGAAACATTTGACTACATAAGCCATAAGGAGTCTTGCCCCTCTAAACCTGTTTTCACACACACATATATTCAGTGTGATTAAGTCACATATATACATCTAACACTGCTTCCATCATAAAAATCAGTTAAGAATTCTAAAAAACAGATTTATGAGAATTGAGATTAAAAAGCATGTTTTATTATCAGAGCTATTTCTAACCCAGTGATGAGTTTTCTTTCTGTAGCAAGGACTCCCTTCCTGTCATGTATTTATACAGCAAGTATCACAAAACGATTCTGAACCTTCGCTGTTGTTTCCAACTGTGGTAATATAAATATTGACCAATATTTAAGCACTTTGCTAGAATCAATTACTCAACTTTTCTGTTCCTCTCTTACATCATTCAAGAGTGTTGCTAACGACGGTCTCCCTTTTGTGTTTCTAATTTGTTAATATGAACACTTGTACTGAACTGCTGTAAAGGGATTTGAAACTGGTTTGTTGTCTGTAATCTGCCATAATCTTTGTCTGTAATTTTTGCAAGGAGTTAACACTCTCAAACTGCCTGCCTTGGAAGCGTAATTAAATCTCTACAGTAGAGACAAAGGGACGTTTACGGAGACAAAAGGAAAAGCAATAGTTTTCCCAGATTGCTAGCTCTTTGATATCTGGAGGATAGCGTAGGCAAATTTTGAGTAGACAAGTGATTTGCTAATCTTGTTGGAGAATAAAGGGTAAGAATAAATCTGTTTTCAACAATGTTCATTTCTTCAAAGAGAAGAAACTGCACTGGTAATTGTACAGAAGAGTTCCTTTTGCCCTTACTCTCCCCAACAGGGCCCAAAGAAGACTTACTTCTCTACAGAAAGCCTCTCACTTCTCCAAGATACCAATTCTATAAAACCTCCTAATATGTGTTTCTTTTCTAATACTAATCATACAACTGAATCAAACAGCAAAAGCCATTCACTGCTTCACAGTACCTTCATGCTTAGTTTTGCTTCAAAAAGCAGAACACTGTTACTACAGTCCTGTTAAACTTCAAATTCTCCCAAACACCATCTCTCTTTTAAGAGGAAGCCCGTTTGCATTCAACTTTAGCGCATGCAGTCATTAGCAGTTAGCAGCTACACAGAATGACAACTAGTCATAATAAAGAAAAGACCAAGTAGGTAGCAGAGAAGCTATTACACTTACCCATCATTGCAGTTTCTCATGAGGATGAGCAGTGAAACAGATGTAAGATTTCTACAACTCCAAGGTGAGTTTAACTTTCAAAAAACCTCAAAGCATTCCTCAAAAGAAACTTCAGACTACATACCTTCTCGCTGAGGTCTATGGGAAGCCATTGGTAGTCCATCGTGAGGTGCTGTGGTTCGTTCTAACAAACTGGTCTCATTACTCGACATGCAGTCACTACGGGAAAAGTCATTCTAAATTGAGGAAGAAGAAGAAAAAAGCTTTAATAAAATATATATTATCAAAGCTTGCTCATAACAGTAGAAATTTTTTAAAAAAAAAAAAAAAAAAGCTTTTTGTTTGGTACTCTATGGGAGAACAACAGAAATTTTTGACAGTGGCCAAGCAGCACTCATTAGCAATTTTGTTTTTCACTTTCTTTTTAAATGTCAAATATCAGCTCTAATGGTTCACTAATCTTATTTTAAAAAGAGGGGGGAGGGGACATTTCGTATAGCTGAAGCTGAATAACTGAAGATGATTAGCTCAGAATCTCAGAATCTAATTTACTGTTAGTATGAACTCTTTTTAATTTCTAGCCCATGAAATAATCTATTCACTGAATTCTAACATATTCTCCCCAATTACATTCATGCCCTATATCTTCATGTGGCCAACGCTGTTCTTCACAGATCCTCTTTATTCTTTAACCCCAAGTTTACCCAGTGCAGAAATATCACCTACAGTGCAGTATAACGTGAAGTATGCTCATTTCAGCATGGTCCATCTGTTTTTCCTGTCTACGGGACACTTTCATTTAGCCTGTGACTTCTTCTATACAGGAAATTATGAATAAACTGTTTGGGCAGTCTATCATAACATATGGTCCTAGCAGCCAAATATATGCAACCCTTGCTAGCCAGACACTGAGAACACAAGCAGCTGATAACACCATTTCTTCCAAAGAGAAAAGGACTGGATTGAAAGCTCAATTCCCCCACATTTGCATGCAGACTTCAAAATTAATGCCAAGAACCACTACTCTGTTAATGGAGTGCATCAGCAGGGGACAGAACAGGAATTCATACAAGTCACATAACATCAATGGATCTCTTAAAGTAAGAAAAGAAAGAACAAACTAGAATAATGAATTATAGCCTGGTAGAAAAGCAAATGAACTTGAAGTGGTTGTTCTAGGACCTATGCAATTTCTCTCAAATTGACATAAAACATTACATCATTTCACATGTTCTCCTATGACTGTGTGTCTTAACAAAAATATAAAAAATTTTAAAAACTCAGAAATATTTTAAAACCTACAAAAGCTGCAGATGTAACTGTTCTTGCCAGTCAACTAGTGCAATTGCATGAATTGCACATTTCAAATAAACAACATTTTACCTTAAAAAGAAACATGCACAAAGAACCAGGAAATATTGGTAGTTGCTAGTAAGTTTCTGGACTGCTCTATTTTTAAGTGGAGCACTTCTTTTTACTTGTAACAAGTAGTATAACTTGTGAGCTTAGTACATACATGCAAGCACATAAATATCATCAACATACAAATACCATAAGCTTTTTGGGGAGAGGGGAGCGCAGAGGAGGAGACAAGGCGGCAAGCAGACTGGAGAAACCACCCTCTCTGACCATTTGATAGGAAATGGTTTATTAGCTACAGTACTGCTGATACTGTATCACCCATATTTAGACAGGTAATACAGACATTTCTCTGTTTAGCACTATGAATCAACCCAGGATTACTTTTCATCAGCACTGGAAGCTGAAACAAAGGTTAGGTTTCTTGGGAAAGGACATTCACTCCACCACAAATGTTTAGCAACTGATCTGCAGGAAGACCAGGAGATAGATAAATATCTTAGTAGTTTTTAAAACTGATAAAATTACTGGGAAAAACTTACACTTTTTGGAGAAGATTTATATTAACAGTTCAAAGCCTGCTACTCTCATTCAGGATGAAAAGCATTACTCCACTAGTAGACTTTCATAACAGATGAGTAGAAGAAAAATGTAAAAACTTTCTGGAAATAAGCACCAGAACATCAAAGAGAGATTTTTTCTTTTTCCTGAAGGACTCATGCAACATGGTGGGACAAACCAGCAGCCAAGACTGTTGGTACCTGGTTTGGTACCAAGGACCCAAGACTGGCACAACAGGCAGGCTGGAACGAGGAAGCAGATGCGTCAAAAGGCTTCAGAGCCCCCTTGTAATTCTTGAATTCTTCATCGAACCTCTTAAGATTTGACAGATGTTTCAACAACAGCGTGCTCAGTTTTACTAAACCAGCTTTAAAATACCTATCTTGGGCACAAACTGTGGCAACCCATGACAGTACAGTACGTACATACAACTCATTTAGGACTTAGATAAGTATACAGGCAGCAAGCATGTCCTGGGCATGCTGTTAATCCAAGTTTCATCAGTCACATCAACAATAGCAGCATAAAATTAGTAGATGAACATCTATGTGCCTTTGCACTGCACTACAGATGGTCTGAGTAACTGACAGACGTTTTAGCTATTTCATCTAATTCAGTGTACGGTTTGTGTTTTACACTGAGTGTCAGTAATTTCAAGTTTTGAATCAATCTGACTTTAAATATAGAACATTTCGTTTCCTCAGGATAAAACTTGCACCAATCCCCAGTCATTCAGTAGACATCCTCAGCAGACTCCTTTACTGACTGAAGCATCACATCACACCTCACATTTCTAATAAATTCTGAGCATAAGGTCAAACCTGAAATGAGGAAGTAAAAAAGCTGTACATTAATGAAACTGCATTTTAACAGCTTCAGAAAATTTGCAAATGTAGTTTAAAAAAAAAAAAAAAAGTCCTCAGAAACACCCTGGAGAACAACACTTTGAGAACTCCTTACTATTCCTATTGTGTCAAATATCATACTGTTTTGTCAAATATTTCCTAACTTTGGTCAGAACCAAAATCAAGTACTTGAGTTTTTAGAACTTAACTCCTGGTCATGCATTATTTACAAAACTGTTAGCATTTGAGCATTAACGTTATCCTGTTAAAATTGTGATTCCTTTAAGACTGTCCATACAAAGCACTAATACTACGATTAACGGGCTGTACCTGAACTAAATAAGCTAACAACGTTAGCGCATTTTAGTATAAAATTGAGCATCTTCCTGACATAAAATCAAAGAACTGAATCAAAAATTTCTAGAGAAAATCAATGTCAATTCTCTGGCAAAGTCTTCCTGAAGCTACAGCCAAACATTTGGCCAAAAGTAGCTTTGATTCTATCTCTGCTGTAAACAGTATGTAGACATTTGCATTAACTTTGCCAGAGGCTCTCCAACTGTTAGATTTGTTTTATTTTTCTAAGATGTCTTTTTACACATCTAAAATTGTGACCCAAAGAGCTGAACGCAGTGCTCCATTCACTTTAAGAAGCTAGCTGGAAGTTCGACCTAATCAACTTTTTTTTTTTTTTTTTTAAGTTCTCAAATGAATCTCAAAACAATTGAATTTGAAGTCGCTAGTCACTCCATTTAAAGTCAGGCTATTTATTTTGATAAACAGAAAAATCATCTACTGTATTTAAATCTATTTTGATAAATAATGGCTAGTTAAGAAGTCAAAAAAAAATGTGAGCAGCTTTTAAAAGAGTTTGAAATAAAATTTATTTCCAAGAGATTTTTTGCTCAGCTCACGACAGAGAAGCATTAAACATTGCTGCCACACCTTCTATAACGGGAAGAGGTACTGTTCCATTCATGATAGCACTCTGTATGAGCTGAGCTACGCCTCACTAACTGCAATATATTACTGGGTTCAAATGTGCATTTAAATAAGTGCTGACATTTCTGGGCTTAGGCTGATTTTATATATCATCATAACTGCAAAAATTTTGTATAATTTTTTTCCATCTAGCATGTTAAACCAACAACATACACGTATTTTGTGGATGATAACATTCAGAACACATACTGCAATGCAGGTGGTAGACAGGAGAGTATCTAGAGCCGTCATAACTTTACCTTACAGCTTATAGTCTACAAAGGTTGTTTCTGTGCCATCTACAGTTCCTCTGCTTAAGCTGCATTATGATTCTTCACATTTGAGGTTAGTTACTATGATGGTCCTACACCAAGCACTCTTTATGGAGTGAAATATATATGTGGAGTAGACAACTGTAATATGCAAGTGACAGGGAAACAGGGATAGCGGAGGAACTCTAGCCAGACTGGAGGGCCCACAAATATTAAGAGTAACATGGCCGGATGTTACCAGCTATACCAGTGCCAGTCACATCCCAATACATGAACCTTGCAGAACCGTGGTATGCTGCTAAGCAGTTTCTGTTGATGGTCATGCAGTATAGTGCTAATTCTACTAGTTGTTTCCTGTCAATGAATAAATTGGATTCACACAACATATACAAGTATAAGGTTAATTCTTGCATAAGTCTTCGTCACTGTAAGGCTTTCACATGTAAGATTTCCTGCAGTTCACTGTTCTGCTGACAATGATTAAAATTTAGTGAAGAAAGAAATGTGGGTGGCCCCAAATGAATTGCCAGATAATTAACCTGATAATCACACAAAACTCTGCGACTGGCTAGAGGATTAACTATGTTTCTCCTTGAAAGTGAAACAAAGTGGAAGCGCACTTTAAAAATTGCCCGCCATCATAATCTAGAACGGAGTTTTGTAGCTGAGACATCATTCCTCATAGGGCTAAAAGCAAGCACCGTACTGAAGAAAACACCTGCCACTTGAGATGTCTTTAAATTCCTGGGAAACAAGCACCAAATGATCCAAATACAGAGCCATACTACCAGGAAGGATGTTGCGCTGTGTAACTAACCTATGTGAACTGAGCAAATCTCAGCTAATCTACATATGACAAACGTTTAGGCTCTGCCTTCTGTTAGCGTAGATGGCTGAACAAGACATGTCATGCTGGTATTGTTCTGGCAACATGTAATGAAATTTGTTATTGGATAACCTACCAATGGTCACGAGCAAGTAATTGGTGCACGAGTGTTCTGATGTTTGCACTGCTCTTTCATAAAAGAACTATTCATGCATCAGCTCTGATGAACACTATTCAGGGAAACCTGCTTACAGAAGTTGGATAGCTTGACTAGCTCTACATATCCAAATATGAAAGCTTATTTTTCTGCAAGACTTCAGTAAAATTACTCTTAGGGACAGCACTACTTAGCCTTGCATGCTCTATAAATGTAAACTAGCATCAACAGTGTA